AAAAAGATGTATTTATTTATTATGTATACAGCATGTGTGACTGCAGGCCAGAAGAGGGCGCCATAGCTCATTACAGATGGTTGTGAGCTGCCATGTGGTTGCTGGGAATTGAACTCAGGACCTTTGGAAGAACAGTCATTGCTCTTAACCTCTGAGCCATCACTCCAGCCCATGGGGGCATCTTTTTAAGACACTGTCAGTTCGCTGGACATCTGCAACAGCCTGTACCCCCTGCTACCCCCACCATCTCCAGGTTTGCTCACAGGACAGAAATTAACCCAACTCCCTTCTCCTTGGCCTCCTCAGACTATTGCTCACCTGTCTGACAGCCATGATGGACTTTCAGATACTAAGACTGCAGGTGCCAACACCAGCCCTGGGCTGCATATGATGATCACTCTCCTTGAGCTGGCCAGATGGCTAATGTGTAAAAGTGCTTGCCAAGCCTGGTGACCCAGGGACCCATGTGATAGAACTGGTTCCCACAAGTTGTCCCTCACCTCCACTTGGTTGCTGTGGTACTTGTGCGTTCAACACAAATTCAAATATAAATAAAACATTTTAAAAGCCTACTTCCCCTAACTTCTGCATCCTGGCTCCAATATCATTTCTTCTCGAGAGTCCCCAGGAACCCTCTTCTTCCACATGAGGGGAAGAGAGGAATATGATGTAGGGTTTTTTCCTTGTTTGTTTTTTTTTAAGACTATTATGTATAGTGTCTGCCTGCATGTATGCCTGCACACCAGAAGAGGGCACCAGATCTCATAGATGATTGTGAGTGCTGGGAATAGAACTCACGACCTCTGGAAGAGCAGCCTCTTAACCTCTGAGCCATCTCTCCAGCCCGTTTGCTTTTCCAGACAGTTCTTGTTATGTTATGGAGTCCAGGTTAGCCTTGCATATGCCACATCCTGCCCAAGGCTGGAATAGTGGTGCAGACCTATAATCCCAGCATTTGGAAGGCAGAGGCCAGAGGATCAGTTCAAGTTCATCATTGCTACCTGACAAGTTCAGGGCCAGCTTCAGCTATATAAGACTCTTAAACCACATATCCATCCTAACGAATCAACTATAAGGAAGTAATAGGCACCTGGTACACCCACTCGGAAGCGGAGGAACAAGTCTTGGTAGCCACTGTACTCCCATTACCCAGCAAAAGATCACATATTCAGGGAGATGTATGGTAGAGTGTGTAGTAACCAGTGAGTCGGGTAGGTAGCAGTCTGTCTGAATCCTCACCCTGATATTTGATTGGCACTGTCCTGGTTCATTGTACTAGAGCTCAAAGGACTAGCCTAGGAGCCCTATGTCTTTGCATAGTCTAGCATAGAGCCAGGCCCAGGAGAACTGCAATTCAGGCTAGGCATGATGGCACATACCATCTCAGTACTCAAGAGGCTGAGTCAGGTGAGTCACGGTGAGTTTGAAGCCAGCCTGGGCTACATTGTGAGTACCAAGCAAGATCTGTAATCCCAGCACCATGGAGGCCAAAGAAGAGGACCTTAAGTTCCAGACCAGCCTGAACTACAGTGAGAAAGAACCTGTCTCAAATTAAAAGAAAGGGGCTGGAAAGATGGCTCAGCAATTAAGACCACTCACTGCTCTTGCCGAGTTTGGATCCCTGAACTGACATCAGACAGCTCAAAACCACTCCAGCTCCAGAGGCCATGGGGTCCCATGCCCTCTTCTGGCCTCCTTAGGCACCTGAACACATGTAACTAACACACACATACAAAAATACAAATTTTTTTTTTTTTTTTGCATGTGTGTGTTTTCAAGATGATTCTTTGTGTAGCCCTGGCTGTCCTGGAACTCTCTATGTAGACCAGGCTGGCCTTGAACTCAGAGATCCACCTGCCTCTGCCTCTTGAGTGCTGGGAGTGCACAACCACTGTCTGGTGGTGATAAATTGTTTTTAAATCTAAACAAAGCCAGGCGGCAGTGGCGCACGCCTTTAATCCCAGCAGATGGATCTCTGTGAGTTCAAGGCCAGCCTGGTCTACAGAGCAAGTTCCAGGACAGGCTCCAAAGCTACACAGAGAAACCCTGTCTCGAAAAAAGAAAAAAAAAAAATCTAAACAAAAAATAATGGCATTTCTGGATCTTGAGTGGGTGGTGAAGCTCCTCAGCCCGCCTCAGTCTCCTAAGGTGCTCACTACCCCGTGATCCTACCCCAGCATGAAGGCCCAGAGTATGAGTCTCAGCTCACACACACAAATGCCAAGAAAATATCCACAGCATTGACTATC